CGTGGCTGGCGCCTTAGCCTGTTGAGCTATAGGCGCCGAGCCTGCATTTCCTTTCTTGTGATGACTTTGTTCTTTTTAAGTGTTGTTTTGGGGTTCAGGGTTGCTTGCAATTTCATACTAATTTGAGAAAAGGATTTTCAATTTCTGCAAAAGAGGAATTTTTATAGGGATTGCATCAAATCTGTGTATCACCTTGGGTGGTATTGCCACCTTAACGATGTACATCTTCTGATCCATGCACATGAAATATCTTTTCATTTATTTACGTCTTCCTTCATTTATTTTAGCAACGTTTTATACTTTTCTTTTCTTCTTTCTTTTCAGTTTTTGGCCAAGGCTGGGTTTGAACCTACCACCTCCAGTATGTGGGGCTGGCACCCTACTCCTTGAGCCACAGGCACCACCTAATGTTTTGTAATTTTCAGTATACAATTTTTTTACTTCTTGGGTTAGTTTGTTCCTAGGTATTTTATTCTTTTGTATTCTATTGTAAAAAGGGTTGTTTTCTCAATTTCTTTTTCAAATTGTACTTTGTTCATGTGTACAAATGCAATTTAAATTTTCATGCTAATTTGAATCCTGCAACTTTGCTGAATTCATTTATTTTTTATTTTTATTTATTTATTTATTTTTTGAGACAGAGTCTCAAGCTGTTGCCCTGGGTAGAGTGCTGTGGCATCACAGCTCACAGCAACCTTAAACTCTTGGGCTTAAGTGATTTTCTTGCCTCAGCCTCCCAAGCAGCTGGGACTACAGGCACCTACCACAATGCCTGGCTATTTTTTTGTTGCAATTGTAATTGTTGTTTAGCTGGCCGAGTCGGGTTCAAGCCCTCCAGCCTCAGTGTATGTGGCCAATGTCCTACCCACTGAGCTACAGGCACCACCCCCAAATTCATGTATTAACTCTAATAGTTTTTTGTGTGTCTGTGTGTATTCCTGTGATTTTTTACATTTGTATATATTATACTTCCGTGAATATAGACAGTTTTGCTTCTTCCTTTCCAACCTGAATGCCTTTTATTTATTTTTCATGCATCTCTAAATAAAAAACTAAAAATGATTAGGCTCAGTGAGGAAGGCATGTTAAAAACCAAGATAGGCTGGCCTGGTGCGGTGGCTCGTGCCAGTAGTCCCAGCACTCTGGGAGGCTGAGGCAGGTGGGTTGCCTGAGCTCAGGAGTTAGAGACTAGTCTAAGCAAGAGCAAGATCCTGTTTCTTCTAAAAATAGAAAAACTAGCCGGGTGTGGTGGTGGGTACCTGTAGTCCCAGCTACTCAGGAAGCTGAGACAAGAGGATCACTTGAGCCTAAGAGTTTGTGGTTGCTGGAGCTATAAGGCTACAGCACTCCACTCTGGGTGACAGAGTTAGACTCTGTCTCAAAAACAAAATAAAACAAACAAAAAAACCCACACAAAACAGGCTTGTGCCAAAAAGTTGCTTGTGAATGCAAAGGAAAAGTTCCTGAAGGAAATTAAATGTGCTACTCTAATGAATACACAAAAGATAAGGTAGCAAAACAGCCTTATTGCTGATGGGGAAAAAATCTGAGCCATCTGAATAGAAGATAAACATTTCCTTAAGCCAAAACCTAATTCAGAGCAAAGCTCTGATGCTGTTCAATCTATGAAAGTTGATTGATGAGGAAGCTGCAAAGGAAAAGTTTGAAGCTAGAAGAGATTTATGTCTCTATAACATGAAAGAGCAAGGTGAAGCAGCAAGTGCTGATGTAGAAGCTACAGCAAGTTATCCAGAAAATCTGGCTAAGATCATTGATGAAAGCGGTTATACTAAATAAACAACAGTGGTTTTTTTTGACGTAGGGTCTCACTCTGTTGCCCTGGTGTGAGTACAGTGGCATGATCATAGCTCACTGCATCCTCCAACTCCTGGGCTCAAGCAATCCTCCTACCTCAGCCTCCCAGATAGCTGGTACTACAGGTGTGCACCACCATACCCAGATAATATTCTTATTTTTGGTAAAAACATATTCTCACTCTGTTGCTCAAGTTGGTTTCAAACTCCTGGACACAAGTGATCCTTCTACCTTAGCTTCTTGAAATATAAGGACTATAAGTGTGATCCACATTAAACACAAAAGAAGGCAGTGCTAAAGGAAATGAGAAGGGGACCTAGCAAGTGTTGGGGTGCTGCTCCCATCAGCTCCAGGCAAAGGGTACAGCTAAGCCTCCTGGTCTTTTTTTTTTTTTTTTTTTTTTGAGACAGAGCCTCAAGCTGTCCCCCTGGGTAGAGTGCCGTGGCATTACAGCTCACAGCAACCTCCAACTCCTGGGCTCAAGCAAGTCTCCTGCCTCCGCCTCCCAAGTAGCTGGGACCACAGGCGCCCGCCACAACGCCCAGCTATTTTTTGGTTGCAGCCGTCATTGTTGTTTGGCGGGTCCGGGCTGGGGATTCGAACCCGCCACCTTAGGTGTACGTGGCTGGCGCCTTAGCCGGTTGAGCTATAGGCGCCGAGCCAAGCCTCCTGGTCTTTTCAAGATACTCCCCAGACTCCAACTACCATTTCTCCGCCTCCCTCCAGGACTAGAGGTTTAGGCAAGTCCCAAGTGCCCACTGCTAATAAGGAAAAGGGCATAAACTTGAACTCAGGACTTGGGTCAGTGTACATGCATTCAACCACGAGGCTAACTGGTCTCTTGAGGCAGCCATCCTCCTGTTTCCCGGATCCATCCTCCTCTCTCTAGGATGCTATTTAGCCCCATCACCTCCCACTGGACTCAGGAATAGTCCCCTCTGTGGCTGCTCAGCTTCTGCCCCTTCCCTCCCTCAGCCCAGAAAATTTATGTTTATCCCTCAAGGCCCAGCCGGGGGAACTTCAGAATGCCTGCCTGTCTATCACAAGTTGCATTCTGTATCCCAAGGCCTTGGGAACAAGGATTATCTCCCAAGGACCCTCTTTGTTTCAGGGTCTCAAGACTAGTCTCTAGACTAGTCAGGGCCTAGCACAGGGCAGGTGTCTATGAACAGTGGTCAAAAGGATGAACCCTTCCTTGGGGATTTACTCTGTGGCTTATTTTAGCTACCAAGGCTGTGTTTTGCCTCCTTTCCTCTATGGTATCAAGAGTCTCTGGCTTCTGAGCAGCTGCCCTGTGCTAGCTCATCTCCAAGTACACAACAGGTGCTCGGTGAGCATCCCAGGGAGGCAGGAAGATGGGGGCAGAAGAAGCCCTTGCTTTTCTCCGGAGAGGCAGCACTTCGTACTTCTGCCTGTAGAATTGGCTGGGTTGCCAAAGCCCTGCCCAGGCCGACAGCCTCTCTGAGGCTTGATCCAAGAAAGAACAGCCCTGGGGAGGCAGAAATGCTAGTTACAGTCCAGGGGCTGCCGGATTTGGAGAGCAGAAGTTGTTTGTTCAGCCAGGGTGCTCGGCCTAGGAGCACGGGCTCCTTGCAAGTCCCCAGTTATCACACGGTGCAGAGGACCCAGCACAGAGATGCCCACCAATTCCTGCCCCTCTCAGGGCTGCAGTTGCCCCACCTGTCAACTGATTGGGTTGCAATCCTCCAACCCAGCCCAGCCAGCTCATTGAGGCCAGCACAACAAATAGCACTTTGGAAATGACTCAGCGAACTCATCACACAACATACGAATGAATGGAGTTGTTATTAGACCCAGGTGCAGGGTCACAGAAAAACTGAGCAAAAAGGTGGAGTAAGTTCTTAGGGCTCCTGCCCTGAGCCCTGTGACGAATGGAGAAGCAGGCCGCGGGCAGCAAGAACAGCACCTACAGGGAGGGGAATGGGCTAGGTCCTGGCTCTACCACGGACCAGTCCGCTCTCCAGGCCTTGATTTCCTCACCTGCACAACGGGGCCAGCACAATCCCTGCCTAGCTCCTTCCAAGAGCCTCACTGAGGCTTCAGTGAGAGTGTGGGTGCGGAAGAGCTTACAAACTGTGAAGTGTGGTGCACACAAGCAGGCTAACTGAAGTTCTGGGACCCAGGCCCAGCTGGGCGCCAGGGAGGGGGCCAATCAGTTCAGCATGAAAACACTGTTTGAGGCTCAGAGCCCAGGCCTCTGTACACACCCAGCTCCCACTCTGAGCCTGAGGCAGGGGCCACATCCAGTGCACCCTGGGTAAGGCCCCCTGGCAGCCTCTGGTGATGACTGACAAGTGCTGTCCTAGCAGTGGGAGGGCCATGGCCTTGTGCCCCTTGTCTCTGATGATCTCCTTTCATTGAGGTCTGACGTGAGCCAGCCACTCCAGGTGAGGGCTGGAGTGACTGGTGGTGAATTCATCTTTGCAGGACCCCAGGTGGTCACCAGCCAGGATAGACAGCAACTGTTGCCTCTCCTGGGACCCTCAGACCCAGAGGCCCAGCCCAGGAGTGGCCTGTGCCCCATTCCTGTTCCCCCTGGACTGGATCCCGGCTCCAGGAAGGGATGCCATGGAGGGGGCCACTTCAGAGCAATGCCTTGAAGAGAAAGGAAAGGGCTGCTCCGCAGGAGAGTCCCAGGGCCAGGAAGAAGGTCATGAGGGCGCCGGCTACCTCCCTCTCATGTTGCAGCACCTGCCTAGAACAGCAGAAATATGAGCTCTTAAAAGACACTGTGCCCAAGCCCAGAGCCAGCCCAAGGCCCTCTGCATGTCTGGTCTGGGCTCTGACCCAAGCCATGTGTCCCTGTAATTAGGCCCTGCTTTATGGGCCTCAGTTTCCCCATCTGTAAAATGACAAGGGTATCTCTAAGGGTCCAGCATTGTAGAATTCCAGATTCCACTGCCTTCCCCACTCGTCCTCCCTCTCACCGTACTCTTTTGGGCCCTCAATTCCCTTGCTCAAGGAAATAGCCTGTGAATACTGCTTTTGATCAAAACCTTAGCTCCCCTTCGACTGAGAACTTTGGAGCATGATGGACCCTGAAGGACGACAGGCCAACCCATTTGTTTTATGGATGGAGAATCTGAGCCCCACAGAACGGCCCCAGAACCAGTTTCTGGTCTATTCTCTTAGGCTCCCAGTTCTGCTTTTCCAAGTAGTTAGGGCCTGACAGGGGATACCAGTGAGGCCTGAGGACAGCTAAGGGGCTGGCCAGGAGCTGAAGTCCCCTCCCTCCCTGGCAGGCCATCTCCCTCACTGACCTGGGTGCCAGGCACATGGTCAGAGATACCAGGTAGCCATTGGAGATGGCAAAAAGCAGCATGAAGGTGATGAAGTAGGCGTCCTGCGGGAAGAGGATGGGCAGCCGGGACCTCTGGGGCACGTGGCACAGCATGAAGAGTGGCACGAAAAGGAAGCGCAGGCAGACCAGCAGGGGCAGCAGCCGGCTGTCCTCGTCTGGCTGTGGCAGAGGCAGGTCTCTGTGAGCAGAGTCTTTGGAGCCAGGTCTGCTCCAGGGACACCTCGGGACACCCATACATAGACCTTTAGTCACTCCTGACCTCCTCTGACCTGCCCTACCCTGTGAGCCCCGGTGCTCTAGAGAACAAGAGGTGGCACCAAGCCCACCCAGCCTGGGCTGCCTCTGTCTCTCCCAGGCTCAAACATGTTCTCAGGGCAGAACTGGGAGAGGCCTCAGATGGCACCTATGGTTTTCAGACTTGGCTCCTCAGAGCACCCCTCAAAACAGAAGAATCCTCTGGGGCTGAAACAGTAATGTTACCGAGTGGCACTGAGCACCTCCTCTTTGACCTGATGTATTTATTATATCTCCTTGGAAGATTTCATTTAAAGAAATAGCCCTGTGGCTAAAAGCTGTCCCCAAACTTGGAATCTTGTCCAATCCCTCACCAAAGGCAGGAACCTCTGCAGAACGTTCTCTAAATGCCGAGCACTGGGCGCTGGGAGGGACACTCGGGTGGACACTGGGGACACAGAGGTCAACTGGACATGGCTTCTGCTTTCAAGGAGCACAGGTGCTGACTGCCACTCTGCCAGCAGACTTGCTGCCAGACCACTCGGCAGACTCTTGGAAAATCACCTCTCTATGCTCCTTTGTGCCCTCTGATCCCAACTGCTTCCTAAAGCATCAGCTTGCCCAGGCCCGGTATGCTTACCCACAGGAAGTAAGAGGTCAGACTCCGCCCCAGCCAGTCCATGATGTTGAAGAGAAGGAAGCAGCAGATGGGGTTGAAGAACTGGCCTGGGAGAGGGGGTGCTGGCAGCTCAACCTGGTCCCCAGGTTCCCGCTCCCACTGTTCATGTGCCCCATGCCCCACCCTCTTCTATACCCCGACACTCACTCCACTTCCCGGGACCGGTGGAGCTGGTCACCATGGCTGTGATGGCAGGGAAGACAGACAGGGTGACTGTGAAGACCAACACAAGGCACAGCGCTGTCAGCCAGATCTGGGGGCCGGAGGCAGGGGCATGAGCAGGTCAAACAGTCCCAGGGCCTGGCCCTCTTGTCCAGAAGCAGGACACTTGGGGCCTGGCCCAGCTGTATCCCTGACTTGCTATGACCCTAAGTCCTTAGGGTAGATACTGTGAGCACTAAGGCCCCCTTATCTCCCAGGGATGGTGGGGGAACCATATCCCATATCTGACCTTCTGGAAGATAATGAAGACTGAAGGTTTTCCCAGCACCTGGGGCTCCTCTGGCTCTGGTTCTGGCTCCGGCTCCTTCTCAGAGTCAAGATCCAGAGTCAGGGCTACCTTCTGAGGGCTGTGGGGAATCCCATTCTTGTCATCTGGGGCAAGAGGGGAGGGTGAGTGAGATCATGCCTGTGGCCCAGGTTTCTGGACAGGCAGGCACATCAGAAGGAGATTCCAAGCAGTCAAAACAAGTGTTCCTGCTGGCCATGTTGGCACATGCCTGTAATCCTAGCACTCTGGGAGACTAAGACAGGCTGAGATGGATTGCCTGAGCTCAGGAATTGGAGATGAGCCTGAGGAAGAACAAAACCCTGTCTCTACTCAAAACAGAAAAACTAGCTGGGCATCATAGTATGGGCCTATAGTCCTAGCTACTTGGGAGGCGAAGGCAAGAGGATCACTTGAGCCCAAGAGTTTGAGGTTGCTGTGAGCTATGATGATGCCACAGCACTCTACCGAGAGTGACAGAGTGAAACTCTGTTTAAAGCAAAGCAAAACAAAACAAGTGTCCCTGGGGTGGCGCCTGTGGCTCAAAGTAGAGTGCCAGCCCCATATGCTGGAGGTGGTGGGTTCAAACCCGGCCCCGGCCAAAAACAAGTGTCCCTACCCCAGCCTGGTGCATGCACAAGCACCAGACAGTGAGGGAAGTGCCTTAGATGGATCATGTCACTACTGCTGCTCTACATGTGAGAAACTGAGGCTCTGAGGGTTTAAGTGGTTAAGTGACTTGCCTAGGGCCACATAGCTGGGATGCTGTGAAACCAGATTCAGATTCAGATGCCTTTGGATCTGGAGCATGGGTGCATGAAGCTCTGCTACTTCCCCATTTCAGAGAGGACACTGAGTCTGACATTAATCCCACTGACTTCTCTCCCTGGTCTCCTGCCTCTGCTCACATGAGGCTGCTACTGGTAGGACTCTCGTAGGGACAGAGGGTAGTGCTTCCCAGTGGAGGTGGCTCCAGCTTCCTCTGGGTCTCCTACCTCCCTAGCAGGGTCTCCGGACTTACCAGAGTGGAGGAGCTCAGCTTTGGTCTCCAGCTCTCGAGCTTGGGCCTGCAATGGTTTCTTGGCCAGGTAGTAGCGAGCAAACTTCTGCAGAAGCATAGGAAAGTGTCAACCCTGTCTGGCTTGGCTGAGGTGTCTGGCTCATACCACTGGCTTAGAGTCTGAGGTGCTCAGGGGGTGGACTCCTTTGGGGATGAGGGCTGAACCCAGGTCTCCTCTGCCTCCCCTGACCTCTTTGAAGGCCCCAGACGCAAGGCTGTATTGAGACACTCTGAGGTAAGATTGGAGGCAAGTAGCAGGCTCACCAGGTGGGACAGGCTCAGGTAGCACATGATGGACATGAGGATGCCCACACAGGGTGTGATGAAGTATCCCAGTGCAGAGGTCTGGGCGTCCACGCCGCCTGTGGCAGAAACTTCAGCTGCAGAGAGGCAGCTGGAGCCACGGCCCCTGAAGAGGCCTCCAACTCTCGTCCCACTTTTTGCTGTGCACCTTCCAGATGCCCTTCCAGCCTTGTCCACTCCTCCCTTCACTGACAAACTCCAGGATCTAGTCAGACCAGTCTTTCTCCTATGTGTCACTTTTGCTGAGCACCTACTATGTGCCAAGAGCAATCTGAGCAGGGAACAGTAAGAATCATGCAGGCAGGAAATGGCAGCACAGAGAGGTTATGTGCCCTGTTCAGTGCTTGCAGCCAGTGAGCAGTAAAATGATTCAAACCCAGGTCTGTCTGAGTCCCAAACCTATCCCCTCTCCCTCAACCTCTACCTGCTGCCTCATACCAGGTGGCCCCAGGAGTCCCACCTCTGGCCCCAGGTTAACCCAGTCTTCCCCCTTATCGCCTCACTGCAGGGCCCAGAGCTAGCCCCTATTGCATCACCCCCCCCACACACACACACATATCTACCTTTCTGCTCCCCAAAACTCAGAGGCCATCCCAGCCCTCCAGCCATTCAAGTTCACTCACTGGCCATGGACATGAGCATGGCAAGAGCGGCGAAGATTCCAGCCAGGCCCTGGCCACTGAGGAAGAGCGTGCTGTAGGTAGAGGGCATGGTGCCCAGCTGCCCGAAGAGGCTGCCCTGCAGGACTGCACCGAAGGCTGTGAAGGGACAGGGACCCGCTACTAGTCAGCTAGGCAGGCCTCAGGGGTGCCCTCCTTAGGGGAGGGATCAGCAGGGTGAATGGGGCCTCTGCACTAGTTTGGGGGGGGGGGGAATGGGCTTTTCAAGGGCCTCTGGGCTCGGTGCCTGTGGCTCAAGTAGCTAAGGTGCCAGCCACATACACCTAAGGTAATGGGTTTAAATCCAGCCCGGGCCCTCCAAACAACAATGATGACAGCTGCAGCCAAAAAATAGCTGGGTGTTATGGCGGGCGCCTGTAGTCCCATCTACTTGGGAGGCTGAGACAGGAGACTCGCTTGAGCCCAGGAGTTAGAGGTTGCTATGAGCTCTGATGCCACAGCACTCTACCCAGGGGTACAGCTTGAGGCTCTGTCTCAAAAAAAAAAAAAAGGGCCTCTGGGCATTGTGGAGGGCTAACCACCATCCATCCTCTTCTAAGGTGCAGCCTTAGAAGGCTGCGAGGTCATTTTGACAAGTGGGGCCTGTGACAAGTGATTTCCTCTCTCTCTGGGCCTCAGTTTCTTCATCAGGAGTATGGGTGATAAAGATGCTGCCTCCCTTCTTGAGTATGTCAGGCTGTTTGAGTTATGAGGAAGAGGCTGGGCTGAAGCCCGTGTGGGCTGTCTGGGGAGATGGAGAGGGAACAGAGGTGCTCACAGTTGATGAGGCAGACGGAGGCCATGGTGATGCAGAAAAAGGGCCTGGGGCTCATGTCCACCTTGACCAGGGCAGCCGTCAGGGCAAAGAGCAGCAGGATGGCCAGCAGGCTGCCCAGAATCCGCACTGTCTCAGGTATGCTGCTCGGGAGGGGTGGTGGAGTGGATCAGCTGGGCCTGGGCAGGGCAGGGGAGAAGGGCTGGGAGGAGGTTGGGAGGTTCAGCCCAGGCTGGGTGGGGGGTGGGGGTGGGGGTGGGAGAAGGGTGATGGCGGGGTCCTTGGCAGAAGAAGGGACCTCAGGCAGGACTCTCACCACTGGTACAGAAAGGAGTTGAGGAGGGTGAAAAGCAGCAGGGGCAGCTGGGACAGCAGCGTCACCCAGTTGTTGAAGTTGAAGGTGTCCTCAGGATCTGTGTAGTTGGTGTGCAGAATCTTGGCTGTGCTGTTGAAGGGCCCTGCCAGCCGCCCCTGGAAGTACTGCCAGGCGGGACAAAGAAGGGTCAAGACCCCCATCCTCCCCCACCTCCCTTCCCATGCCTGTGATGTTTGTTGATGTCTTCAGGGACCACCTACCTTGTCCTTGCACTGTCCCCTGCACACTGGGTTGGACACACTGAATTGATAGCTGAATGGGACGGAGCCTAAGCCCTAAGAGTGCCCCTCCCCCCAGGCCTGGCTCAGCTTTAACTCCTCTTCTTCAGTGTCTGGTTCTGGCCTCCACCCCAGTCTTGCAGCAGCTTCTAGATTCATTCATTCCATGGCTATTTATTGAGCACCTACTGTAAGCCAGGCTCTAGCCCAGGTGCCAAGCAACTGCATTCCCTCTGGAACACACATCCTGTCACTCTTCTGTTTAACTGCCCCCCACCTCTGTCTCCCTACTGCCCACAAGGGGTCCTGTTGGAGCAGCATTTGGGGGCCCTTTAGAAGAGATCCTGGCCTCCCTTTTGTGCCCCATTTCCCCACTGACCACTACGCACCCCAGGGTCTGGGCAGTTCTCTGAACTGGGTGGCCCTCTATGCCTCCCTGCTTGTGTGTAGCTGTCACCTGGACCAGAATGCCCCCTCCTCCTGACCACTCCCCCTCCACCCTAGGAACACCTGCTCCCAACTTAACAAATCTCTTCTGTGAAACAGAAGGCATTTTCCCCCTCCCCTGGGCCCCAAAGTGCCCTGCCCCAGCCTGGGCTGCCACAGGTCATGTTACATTATTAATAGCTCTTGGGCCCTGCTTGCTCTCAAGACCAAGGGGTGATTTACCTCTGGGTCTAGCACAGAGCTGGGTACCCAAGAGGCAGCTGGACTATGTGTACCCGCTCCCGAAGTGGTGAGAACCTCACATGTCAGCCTCCCTTTTAGAGAACAAACGCTTTATGCAGACAAAGCCCTCTGTTGTGCTTCTTGGTCCACAGTAGGTGCATATTCAAAGTCTGTTGAATGAATGTTTCTAATTTGTGCTATTTCAGAGAGAACTAAAGGTTTTGATAACCTGCTTTTGCAGTGACTGGTTCAGAAATAAGACAAACAGAGGAGGTGGGTGGGTAGCTCCTTTGCTGGCTTCACACACCCCCTGAGCTGGTGGCTTTTCCCCTCTGTGTCTGGGCATTTCTGAAAGTTTGGCTTTCCTAGCTGGAGAGAAGCAGTCCCCTGTCTGAGGCTCCGTGCTGCAGCGGACAAACGAGCATTAAGAGAAATCACAGGCGGTGTGGCAGGGAAAGTGCATGGTTAGCCTGTGTCCAAGGCGGCTGCAGGCAGGGATGGTGGTCGTGGCCATAGGGCTGTGGCTCCGGCCGAGAGTCTCACCGGGATGGCAGTGATGAAGAAGTTCCAGGGAAGGAGGGTGCCCAGCCCCAGGATAAAGAAGCTGATCCCGACCAGGTGGTAGCTGTAGGGATCAGTCAGAAGGTCACCCCGAGGACGCACCCGTCTCGGCCTGCCCTCCGTCTCCCAGGCCGCCCCTCCGGAGAGCGGACTACAGGCCCCATCACCCCGCTCAGGCAGTCGAGGCAGTCGGCTGATGGGAACTGTAGTTCGACTGGTCTTCTTTGCACTTAGGAACGCCCAAAGGCAGCAGGTCTGCGCTGCCCACGGCCACTCGGGTCCCCCACCCCACCCCACTCTGTCTCCATCTCACCTGTCCTGCGGGGCGTCTCCTCGCGCCATAGCCGCTACAATGGGCCGCTACCGGGTGGGAGAGGGTTGGGGAGGCCGCACCTGCTCCTGCGCCCAGGCCCGAGAGCCAGGGAGGTGGGGGGTCAGGTCCAAATCCGGGTGGGGGATGGAGGGCTGTGCTGGGAGCCCGGGAAGATTCCGGCTGCCCGCCTGCTCCGCAGGCTCAGACCTCAGCTCCGCCCCCGGGGCGGGGACAGAGGGTCGCACCTCCTTCTAGCCTTCTCACAGCCGCCCGGCGGGGACTGCGGACTCTCGAGCAGGGCTTGGCCCTACCCAAGGGTCTCCAGATCCTGCCCACTCCCTGCACCACGCGTGCGGTTTGGAGGGGACTGACCGAGAACGCATCACCGCTGCTGCCCCTCTCCTCGGGCGTCTCGGGTCTCTGCTGGGCTGGGGAGCAGGGCCGGGGCTCCTCCGGCTTTGCTCGGCCCCGGCGTCGGCGACCCTGCCGCGCCCTTGCCCGGGCGTCGCCTGAGCTCGGCGCCCGCGGCCCTGGGGCTGAGCCAGTTGCGTCCCCGAGAGAGCTGGAGAAAAATCAGCATTGTTTTCAGCGGCCCCATGCCACACACCTACTTTTTCTTTTTTTCTGTAAAACACTAAAGAGATCGGAAACCATTGATGTTTGGAAATTCATTTGCTCCAGCCAGCTCTCATGGTCGGCGAACAAGCGTGGCTTCTCGGCATCGCCGCGCGTAGCGGGGATTCGGGAGAAGTGAGAGGCTGAGTCACAAGCTGTGCCTAAGCTATGAAATCTTATAGCCGCTTCCAGGTCGCGGACGATTTTCCCGCAGCCAACTGTGAGCCCGGGGGGCAAACACCTGTGCCTGCCCGGCTCACTGTTTGCGACCATCCAGCGCCATTTAGCAATAGATGGATTGCGGAGACATGTGAGCGATTTTAGGGCGAACTGGGACAGTATTAGAAAGTTGCTCTCTTTCCAATTTTCTGTCAAACCCTGGAATATATCAAAGGAGAAAGTCTCGATTTGGTGCCAATACGTTTCTAACACCTCTAAATCTCCAACACCCCACTCCCCGCCCCACAAACCTCAGGGCGTCTGCTGCCAATTTTACCTAAATACAAGTTCATTACTTTCATTTTCCTTACATTTATTTTTATGCTTATTTTATTTTTACAGCTACTCATACTGGTTTTCTATTTATGATAGTGATACCAACTTTTCTTTGAAAAATCTATTTATGAAGATTTAAATCTATTTAATGTGGTTTAAATAAGTGGGGATGCAGGCGCTGCACAGCGTGGCACACGTTTCCAGAAAGGTGAAGAACGGAGGTTTGGGAAGCGTTGCGCCAGGGCTCTTCCGGGAGAGAACAGCCTGTCCCAAGAGTAGCGACAGGACGGTGTTGACACATTCTGGGACATACAAATAGATGCCTTTGGCTGGTGCAGTAGGGGGAGGACAGAGCCTCCACCGCAGCTCGCGGCTCCGGGCAGGCTGAGGGCTGAGTGACAGCTCGGGTTGCGTTTCAGAGGAGAGGCTAGATGAGACTCTGTCATCCTGATAATAAATATTTTGGTATAATTCTGCAGTGAAATTCATAGACAACAGAACCTACCTATACAGAAGAAATAATATCCTAACTGTACTACAGACGTGATATAAAGGAAAGCAGTAATAAATTTTTTTCTCACTTTTCAAAGAATTTTATTTATCCTAGTGTTACGTAATAGATGCTCATATTTTCAGGGTCCATGTGATAATTTAATACATTCATATACTGTGTAAAGATCAAATTAGGGTAATTGGGATATCCATTGCCTTAAACGTTTCTTTATGCTTGGATATGAGTTTCTGAAATGTGATTGAGTCTTGGCAAAGTTCCAAACCAAACAAAGAGCAGCTGTCCCTCCTCATTGGAGGAGGTGTGTTACAGAAGAGCGCCCTGTATGTTCAAACCTTGCAAATAATACCTGTGTACAGATGTGAAAGGACTAGAGCCTAGGCTCAGGAAATTGTCCACTTAGTATTTAAAAAACTAAATAATAGATTTTATTTTTACTAGAGTTTTAGATTTACAGAATTCTTAAGCAAATAGCACAGAATTCCACCTACCACCAAACCACCACAGTTTCTCCTATTAACATCATGCATTAGTATACATTTGTTATAATTAATGAACCAATATTGATACATTATCATTAACTACTATAAAGTTCATAGTCTACATTAAGGTTCACTCTTTGTGTTGTATGGGTTTAAAATATATATATATGTATATATATATATAGAGAGAGAGAGAGAGAGACAATGTCTCAAAACTGCAGGCTGCAGTGTAGTGGAGTGGTCATAGCTCACTGTAACCTTAATCTCCTGGGCTACAGCAATCCTCCCACCTCAGCCTCCCGGTGTAGCTGTGACAACAGGTATCCCCTGACAGCTAATTTAAAAAAAAATTTTTTTAGAGATGGGATTTCACTATTTGCCCATTCTGGTCTCAAGTGATCCACTCACTTGCCCAAGCCTGTCAAAGTGCTAGGATGACAAGAGTGAGCCACCATGCCTGGCAATTCTATGGGTTTTGACAAATGCATAATGTCATATATCTGCCATTACGGTATCACACAGAATAATTTCATCTCCCTGAAAGTCCCTGTGCTTTCCCTAGACATCTTCCCTCCCTTCATCCCCTGAACCCCTGAGCAACCACAGATATTTTTATTGTCTCTGTAGGTTTGTCTTTTCTGAAATATCATATAGTTGGACTCGAACAGAACAGTGTGTAGCCTTTTTCAACTGGAAAACTTGGAACGTTCACTTAGGATATGGATTTAAAGTTCCTCCATGTCTGTTAATGGCCTGATAGCCGTTCCTTTTTATTGTTAATGTTCCCTTGCATGAATTACCAGTTTTTTTTTTTAATTCATTTACCTATTTCAGGACATGTTGGGTGCTTGAAGTTTCTGGTGAATACAAAAGATGCTATGCATATTTGTGTGCAGGGTTTTGTGTGGACATAAGTTTTCAACTTATTTGAGCTAATACTTGAGAACCACATTGCTATGTCATATGGTAAAACTGTTTAGTTTAGTAAGAAACTGCCAAACTATCTTTGAAAGTGGCTGCTTCATTTTGCATCCCACCAGCAATGAGATAGTTGCTGTACATTCTTCTGAGCATTTGGTGTCACAAGTATTTTAATTTTAGTCTTTAATAGGTATGAAGTGGTATCTTGCTTGCTTTGGATTTTTGGGATTGCTTTGTTTTGTTTTGAGACAGAGTCTTGCTCTGTTGTCCAGGCTAGAGTGCAGTGGTATTATCATAGCTCGCAGCAACCTCAAACTCCCGGGCTCAAGCGATCCTTCTTTT